GTTTAATCTATTTCACCTTAATGATTGTGTTTTAGGAAAATGTATGATTAACTGTAATTATTCAATTGTTCAAATAAATTACCAGGGTGAGTACAAAGTTTAATTTGATTTGCTTTAACTATTGTGTTTCAAAAGGACATATGATTAACTATAATTATCTAATTGTTCAAATATATTACCAGGGTGAATACAAAGTTTAATTCAATCTGCTTTAACGATTGTGTTTCAAGATATTGATTAACTAAAATTATTTGATTGTTCAAATAAATTACCAAAGTATGAAATTTAATTTGATTTGCTTTAATGATTGTATTTCAAGAGAACGTGTAATTAACTATAATCATTTTTAATTATTCAAATAAATACTATAGTGAATATAAAGTTTAATTTGATTCACTTTAATGATTGTATTTCAAGACATTGATTAATTATAATCATTCAATTATTCAATAAATTACCAAGGTAAGTAAAAGTTTAATTTGATTCACTTTAACAATTGTGTTTTAAGAAAACATGTGACTAACTGTAATTATTTAAATGTTCAAATAAATTACTAGGGTGAGAACAAAGTTTAATTTGATTCAATTTAACAATTTTATTTCAAGAGAATATATAATTAACTGTAATCATTTAATCATTCAAATAAATTACCAGGGTAAGTATGAAGTTTAATTTGATTTGGTTTAACAATTGTGGTTTAAAACATTGATTAACTATAATTATTCAATCATTTAATAAATTACCAAAATGAATATAAAGTTTAATTTGATTTGCCTTAATAAATGTATTTTAAGAATTAACTATAATTATTTAATCATTCAATAAATTACTAGGGTAAGTATGAAGTTTAATTCACTTCACTTTAATGATTGTGTTTCAAGAAAATGTGATAATAACTATAATTATTTAATTATTTAAATAAATTACCAGGGTGGGTATTATATTAAATTTGGTTAGCTTTAATAATTGTGTTTCAAGAGAATGTATAATTAACTGTAATCATTCAATCATTCAAATAAATTATCAGGGTAAGTACAAAATTTAATTTGATTTGCTTTAATGATTGTGTTTTAAAAGAAAATAGAATTAACTATAATCATTTAATTGTTCAAATAAATTACAGGGCAAGTTCAAAGTTTAATTCGATTTGCTTTAATGATTGTGTTTCAAGACATTGATTAACTGATCATTTAAATAAATTACCAAAGTACAAAATTTAATTTGATTTACTTTAATGATTGTATTTCAAGAGAACATGTGATTAATCATAATTATTTAATTATTCAAATAAATTACCAAAGCAAGTATAAAGTTTAATTTAATTTGCTTCAATAATTATATTTCAAGGCATTGATTAATTATAATCATTCAATCATTTAATAAATTATCAGAGTAAGTAAAAAGTTAATTTGATTCGCTTTAACAATTGTATTTCAAGAGAACATATAACTAACTGTAATTATTTAAATATTTAAATAAATTACCAGGGTGAGAACAAAGTTTAATTTAATTCAATTTAACAATTTTATTTCAAGTGAATATATAATTAACTGTAACTATTTAAACATTCAAATAAATTACCAGATAAGTACAAAATTTAATTCAATTCAGTTTAATAATTGTGTTTTAAAACATCAATTAACTATAATTATTCAATCATTCAATAAATTATCAAGGTGAGTATGAAGTTTAATTCGATTTATCTTAATAACTATGTTTTAAGAATTAACTATAATTATTTAATCATTCAATAAATTACCAGAGTGAGTATGAAGTTTAATTGACAATTGTGTTTCAAGAAAACATGCTATTAACTGTAATTATTTAATTGATAATCCATTTGTCACCTGGAGGGATCTGCAAAATTTTATAAGTAAAGTTTACTATTAACAGAAATGTGGCAAGCCTAAATCTAAAACTTTTTTTACTAAGACAATCAATCTTGTCAATTAATTGAAAGTTGTAGAGCTTATCGAGATGCATCTAATAGTAAAAAGAGCATTAAAATCAGCCTAGTGGTTCGTGAGATATCTTTGAAAAACATCTTGCATGTATATAAAATTTCTTTAAAAAAAGAAGGCTTTTTTAAAAAAATTTTATATGTACACAAGATGTTTTTTAAAGATATCTCGAGAACTACTAGCCAATTTTGACACTCTTACTACTATTAAATGCATCTTGATAGGCTTTACAACTTTTAATTAATTGACAGAATTGATTGTCTTAGTAAAAAAAAAGTTTTAGATTTAGGCTCGCCACATTTCTGTCAATAGTAAACTTTACTTATAAAATTTTGCTGATCCCTCCAGGTGACAAATAGATTATTAATTAATTATTCAAATAAATTACTAGAGTGGGTATTAAGTTAAATTCAATTCGCTTTAATAATTGTATTTCAAGAGAATGTATGATTAACTATAATCATTCAATTATTCAAATAAATTAATTTGATTTGCTTTAACAATTGTGTTTCAAAAAAACATAGAATTAACTATAATTATTTAATCGTTCAAATAAATTATAGGGCGAGTACAAAGTTTAATTTGATTCACTTTAATGATTGTGTTTCAAGACATTAATTAATCAGAATTATTCGATTATTCAAATAAATTACCAGAGTACAAATTTTAATTTGATTCACTTTAATAATTGTATTTCAAGAAAACATGTAATTAACCATAATTATTTAATTATTCAAATAAATTACTAGAGCAAATATTAAGTTTAATTCGATTTGCTTTAATAATTGTGTTTTAAGACATTAATTAATTGTAATTATTCAATCATTTATCGATATTTGCAAAATGATTTATTTTTTATAAAATCTGTAGATCACTGCATACCTGATTGCTCAATTGCAATCGATTATATGTGGTTGTTGCGATTTCTCAGCAACCATCTAATTAAATTTGATGTTTTTTTTATTTGTATTTTATAAATCTATAGGGTTCAAATAAAAAAAAATTCATTGAATTTAATCAGGAGGTTACTGAGATATCATCACTCAAAGTTCTTTTTTAAAAAATCGCAATACTGCATTGTTTATCAAATAGAAGCTGTGCCAAAATTTTCTTAAAACTTTAAGCAAAGATATTTTAGCAACTACTTGAAAAATTTGATAAATTTTTTTTATTTGAATTCTATGGATACATAGAATTAAAATGAAAAAAATTTTATCGAATTTGATTAGGTAGCTGCTGAGGTATCTTTGTTTAAAGTTTTTAAAAACATCATCTAAGCTGCACAAATTTTTTCTAAAACTTTGAGTAAAGATATTTCAGAGACCATCTAATCAAATTTGATAAAAATTTTTTTATTTGAATTATTATAACTATCTATAGAATTCAATAAAAAATTTTATCAAATTTTATTAGGTGTTTTCTGAGATATCTTCACTCAAAGTTTTAGAAAAAATTTGCACAGCTTAGACAATATTTTTAAAAACTTTAAATAAAGATACCTCAGCAAACACCTGATCAAATTCGATAAATATTTTTCAAGTAGTTGCTGAAATATCTTTGCTTAAAGTTTTAAGAAAATTTTGGCACAGCTTCTATTTGATAAACAATGCAGCATTGTGATTTTAAAAAAAAACTTTGAGTGATGATATCTCAGTAACCACCTAATTAAATTCAACGAAGTTTTTTTTTATTTGAACTCTATAGATTCATTAAATGCAAATAAAAAAAATTATCAAATTTGATTAGATGGTTGCTGAGAAATCGCAACAATCACATACAATCAATTGCAATCAGGCATGCAGTGACCTACAGATTTTATCAAAAATAAATCATTTTGCAAATAGCGATAATTGAAGGTTTCTCGATAACTACCGAGCCAACCTCAATAAATTTTTTTTTATTTTAATTTTACATGATTGTAGAATTATCACTATTTGCAAATTGATTTATTTTTTAATAAAATTGGTAGATCACTGCATGCCCGATTGTCCGATTGCAATCGATTTTATATAATTGTTGCGATTTCTCAGAAACCATCTAATAAAATTTGATAATTTTTTTTTATTTGCATTCTATGAATCTATTGGGTTCAATTTAAAAAAAAATTCATTAAATTTAATCAGGCAGTTGCTAAGATATCATCTCTCGAAGTTTTTAAAAAAAAGCTGCGCCAAATTTTCTTAAAGAATATTCAAGCAACCACGTGATCAAATTTGATTAATTTTTTTTTATTTGAATTCTATAGATCCATAGAATCCAAATAAAAAAAAATTCATTGAATTTGATCTCATGGTTGCTAAGATATCTTCACTCGATGTTTTTTTAAATTATTAAAACATCAAAAATAAAAGTTGCCAAAATTTTCCTTAAACTTTGAGCAAAGATATCTTAGCACCTATCTGATCAAATTCGATAAATTTTTTTTTATTTTAATTCTATTAATCCATAAAAATTCAAATAAAAAAAATTCTATCGGGTTGTTTCTGAAAAATCTTCACTCAAAGTTTATTTTTTAAAAAAAATCCAAATTCGCTTATAATATAGGATTTCTTAAAACTTTAAGAGAAGATATTTTGGCAATTATCTAATTATATTTAATAAATATTTTTTTATTTGAATTCTATAGATCTATAGAATTCAAATAAAAAAAATTGGTCAATCCTTATCAGGTGGTTGCTGAGGAATCACATACAATCATATGTGATTGATTGTAAGTGATTGTATATAATTGTATACAATTGTATATGATTGTGTATCCATAATTGGTATAAACGCGACACATAGTATATGTTGGTCATTTACTGTACCATTTATCATTGTTTAAAGTATCTTTCTTGATATAGCAATTATTTTTTATTATTTAATTATATAGACTTATATATGTATATTATATGTATATTATATTGTATTAAATTATCTTTTGGGCCAATAAAATTTTAATTGGCATTTACTATATATCATTTTAGTCTTGGTACAAATAATAGAATTTTTAATTTAAGCTTTTTAAAGTGTATACTACGTAAAATTTCAATCTTCAACATGACTCATAGTGACGATTTAAAATTGCGCATAGTTTATCTTAATCATGATGGTCATAGCATGGAAGAGATTCCAGAACTTCTATATTTAAGTGAAAGCTTAGTGCAAAAAATACTTCAAACATATAATCATTTTTATTTTATTAAAAATCCCTTTAAAGAAGCCCTAGGTCAAAAAAAATCATTTAATAGTAAAGATATAAAAGTAATTTCTATATTTATTTTTATTTATTTTCACTTATTACTTATATATTGCAAAAAGTGTAATCTAGTGATTTTATAACAATAATAAAAAGTATTAAATTAAATTTTTAAAATTTCTAGATTTTGCAAGAATTAATTAAAGAAAGGGTAGACTTATATTTCAATGAATTACAACACGAAATAGGTATAATTACAGGCAAATGGCTATCTATTTCAACTATTAGTTGTTAAGGCAGCAGATATTCATACCCCAATTTTGTTATTAATAAACTAAACTTTTTCAAATTTATAAACAAAGATACCTTGGCAATCACAAAGTCAAATTTGATAAAATTTTTTTATTTAAATTCTATGTCTGTAGAATTTAGATAAAAAAAGTTTATTGAATTTAGCTTAGTGGTTGTCAAGATATCTTTGCTCAAAGTTTGGAAAAGTTTTGGTGCAGCTTTATTTTTTATTTTTTTTTGGTATTAAGGTGAGGCCTTGCTCATATCTTTATTGATTAATTTATATAAGTAATTATATATCAACTAT